GCCAGGAACTATGATTTAATTAAAACAAACTGTGTAAAAAGCTTTGGGAAGTTATTCAATGTTCCAACCGTCAGCAGATAGTATTTGCTCCATAGGTGATCTATCCAAACGTGCACAATTGGAACATCAATTAAAATATTGTCAGCTCTGAAGAGCTGTAGGGGAGAGTATTTCGTTAGCTTAGTTCGCAAACGCGACAAGTCCATTATTTATTAAAGAAAGATAAGTTTCTGTAGGCATTACTTTTATTTTTTAGCAAAACAAAATTTGAATGCAAATAAGTGCCGTTGCCGAAAAGATTTTGCCACAAATTTGGCCCCAAAATAATCTTTTTTCGGGGTCTTTTGGCATTCTAAACAATGTTCCACCACCCTTTTCATATTTTTTCTTGCAAATAGTGCAGGATCGCATTTTGAATTTAAAATATTGGTAAAATTTCTTATAATTTTACTTTTTCTAACTGAAAACAATTTTAAATTTAAATAAATTAACACTGACAATTAGGAAACGGAAAATACAAGTAAATAAACTTTGACAGTTAGAAAATATAAAACAAATCGAACAAAAAATAATCAGCTGGCTTATTGACTTCACCTGTAAATAAATACATCTTGAAAATTACAATATAAGAAAGAAATTTATAATTTCGGAATAAAATTTTAAATTTTTTGAAAAATATTTACAATTTCGGAGAAACATTTGCAATTATGGATAGAAATTTGCAATTTTGGAAAGAAATTTACATTTTTGGACAGAAAATTACAATTTCGGAATAAAATTTTTAATAATAATTTAAAATTTTAAGTAGATATTTCCAATTTCTGAAACAAATTCACAATTTCGAAAAGAGTATTAAAATTTTGGAATAAAATTTAAAAATTTTTTAATAAAATTTAAGTTTTTTTTTCAATAAAATTTCAAATTTTAGAACAAAAGTTTCCAATTTTTGCTATAAATTTCAAAATTCTGATCGGAACTAAGAAATTTAGATTAGATTTTAAAATTTAACATTCAACTAAGAATTTTAAAACAAAATTAACTATTTCGAATAAAATTTACAATATCAGATTAATATTTTTAATATCGGATTGAAATTATTAATTTCTAAAAGGTTCACGCAGAAATTGTGAATAAAATTAGAAGACCCTAACAGAAAATAGGTATCAAAAATCTTAGGATTTTCTCACTACATTTGTGATTGGGTTTGGACTGCGGTTCTAAAGTTTAAACGTAAAGTCGACTTTTTCAAACACATATATGAAAATTCGACATTCTCACTTTAAATACTTATGAAAATATCGATATTACAACTTTTAATCTGTGGATTTTTCTAAATTTTATTAATATGTATGACTTTTTGACTTTCATTTGTCGAATTTGTTCTTTCGTTTACTTCTCTCTTCAAACTCTATAGTATTATTCAAAAGATTTCGCAAGTTTATTATAGGGTTCTATAGTTGAAACGAAAAGTCGACTTTTCGACTTTTTTCATTTAGTTAAAAGTCGACTTTTCGACTTTTTGCATTTCATGAAAAGTCGATTTTTCGACTTTTTTCATTTAAATAAAGGTCGACTTTTGGACTTTTCGACTATAAGTATTTTATAAATAGTCGACTTTTCGACTTTTTCCGACTTTTTTCGACTTTTCGACTTTTTTCGACTTTTCGACTTTTTGACTATTTTTGACTTCTTTCTACTTTTTTCTGACTATTTTTTTACTTTTTTCGAGTTTTTCCGACTATTTTAGAGTTTTTGACTTTTTTTCACTTTTTTAAAATGTTTGACTATTTTTGACTTGTTTCTACAATTTTCGATTTTCCGACTTTTCGACTTTTTCCGACTTTTTTCGACTTTTTCCTACTTTTCGACTTTTTTCGACTTTATTCGACTTTTTTCGACTTGTCGACTTTTTTCGACTTTTTTCACAGTCGACTTTTCGACTTTTTTCACAGACGATAGTCGAGTTATCGACTTTTTTGGAAAAAAATAGTCGACTTCGACTTTTCGACTTTTTTCGACAAAAAGTCGATTGTTCGATTATTCGAAAGTCGATTTATAGAACCCTAGTTTATTATTAACAAAACTTTAGCGCCTACCCCAACATTTCAACTCCCCGCTAACTGGCAACACTGTTATTATCAAGATCTCTTGCTTCTTAACTCTTTTCTTCTCAACATACTCTTTATTTACAATTTTTTTCCACTACTACAATTCCCCCTTTCCTTATCAATGCACTTTTATTCACATAGATTTTAAAACTATTTAAACAAATTACTTAATCATCATAAAATCATGATCATGTTATAGAAACGTGAGTTCTTTTTCAAACTAAAGATTTAACACAAATTGATGAAAATTTATTTAATAATTTACTTATTAACGGCGAAAAAATCAATTAATGTGCGCCTTTTTTTCTATATTTCTTTTTTTTTGATTTAGTTAAAGTTTGTATGTTTGTTTTTGTTTTCATTTTGTACATTTTTTTCCCCATTTTCGCAGCTCAGCTCACCTGCACCATGGTTACATTTTGTATACATTTTTATTTGCAAAATTTTGTATCAGAAACACTTACCCTTTCGGTTTGCTGTTTGTTTTTTGTTTTGTTTTGCTGTTGTTTTTTGGTGAAAAACACTTTATTTTATGGAGTTCACACTTTACGTTTTATTTTATTAATATGATTTTATTATTAAAATAATTGTTTACACAGAAATTTATTTATTTTTATAACCCGTTACCACCGTACATAGACCGAACACAAGCAAAAACTTTCTCACGCATACACGCGATTTTTTTCTATTTTTTTGTTCTTGTTCTCTTAATTTGTTGTCAAAAGTTTTTTGACATTCCGTTACATGAGATAGGAAGAAAACCTGAAAGAAAGAAGAAAGTTTAAGGAAAATACTAATAAGAGTTGCATTTTTAGAGAATTTGGGAAAAATGTATGAGAATTAGTTTTTGAATAAATTTAATAGAATTATAATAAAATTAAATGGTTTTTATTAATTAAAACGCTTTTTTGTTATTTAACTTTATAAATGTTGTCAATTGTATAAAATTTATTTTTTTTCACTAGTGATTTTTAATCCCGCTTTTATACAGCTGTTTAAATCATATCACAAAAAGGTGAAATCGTGGAGAAATCGAAAAACATTTGCTGTTCTATGCAAGTCCGGGAGTTATAGGCTTCTCGATTAATTTGGAGGTCTATAACTCCCGGATTTGAATAGACCAAATTAATATTGATTTGGGCCAATTTTGATTTTATTTACATAATCTCTAAATCATGAGAAATCATAAAAATATACAATTATTAGTTCTATTTAAGGCATGTTACATGTTTCTATTTACATTTTACAAAAAAAAAAAAACAAAATTTTCACACATTTTTAGGTATTTCAAAATACCATTAAAAATTAATAACACTGCTGAAAACTTTGTCGCTTTACAGACGATTTTAAGCCGCTTATCAGTTGCTGTGATGCAACCAACTTTGAAAAATTCATAAATTTAAGAAAATAGTTTTTATACTTAAAAGTACCCAGAAATGAAACCAATATGCGGATCGATTCATCTATCCATTCCCTATTGATCGCTATTGACTGTTTTGATGCTCAAAGAATATTTAAAATTTTTTAAGTAAAAAACTTTTTTGCTAAATTTGCTAATTTGTCAATGTTTGTTACGTTCATAGTCTTAAAGCAAGTACTCAGAAATGAAATCAATATGAGGATCGATTCGTCTTTCGATCAATATGCGGTTCAAATCATCTATTGATTCCCTATCGATCACATATTTTAGTTTTGCTGCTCATGGAATATTTTAAAATTTTTCAGTATAAAAACTGTTTTGTTAAATTTGCGAATTTGTCAAACTTTGTTACGTTACACCATCTTATAGCAAGTACCCAGAAATGAAATCAATATGCGGATTGATTCGTCTATCGATCACATATTTTAGTTTTGCTGCTCAAAAAATATTTTAAAATTTTATAGTATAAAAACTTTTTTATAAAATGAGAACTTTTCAAAGTTTGTTACGTTACAGCATCCCAAGCAAGTACTCAGAAAAAAAATCAATATGCGGTTCGATTCGTCTATTGATTCCCTATCGATCGCATATTTTAGTTTTGCTGCTCAAAGAATATTTAAACATTTTTTAGTATAAAAACTTTTTCATAAAATTTGCGAATTTACAAAGTTTGTTACGTTATACCGTCTTATAGCAAGCACTCAGAAAAAAAATCAATATAGGATTTGATACGTCTATTGATTCTCTATCGATCACATATTCTAGTTTTGCTGCTCAAAGAATATTTTAAAATTTTTTGGTATAAAAACTTTTAAAATATTCTTTGCGAATTTGTCAAGGTTTTTTACGTTATACCGTCTTATAGCAAGTACTCAGAAATGAAATCAATATGGAGATCAATTCGTCTATTGATTCTCTATCGATTACATATTTTAGTTCTGCTGCTCAAAGAATATTTTCAAATTTTTTAGAATAAAAACTTTTTCATAAAATTGGCGACTTTGTCAAAGTTTGTTACGTTACACCGGCTAATAGCAAGTACTCAGAAAAAAAATCAATGTGGGATTTGGTTCGTCTATTGATTCTCTATCGATTACATATTGTAGTTTTGCTGCTCAAAGAATATTTTAAAATTTTTTTTTAAGCATAAACACTTTTTGTAAAATTTTTAATTTCTTCAAAGTTTGTTACATCACAGCATCTCATAGAAAGTACCCCGAAGAATAATTAATACGGAGTTCGATTCGTTTTTTGATTCCCTATCAATAACATTTTTCAGATTTAGTGCTCAAAAAGGATTTTCAATTTTATTTCCATATTTCACAAATAAATCAATGAGTTTGTGGTTTGTTTTCTTTTTGTTTACGTTTTTTATGTATATTTTGCTTTGTTTACATTTTTTATGTACTTTTCCACGTGTATACACAAAAAAGTACCATTCTATGCAACTCTGAAAAAAGTTTGCTATTTGCCCTGTTTGTTTTCTTCATCTGCGAAAAAAAAGTTGCAAACTGTCGGCGTCTTTTTTATTACAATTTGTTTGTAATTTTAAACAAAAATTTTATAAAAATGCATAATAAATAGTTATAAATAAATGTAAATATTAATAAAGAAACTAAAAACACTAATTTTCGCAATAAATGTAAAAGCAAAAAAAATTTCCCCAATTTCTGCAAATGAATTGTTATTAAACATTTTCGTTTCATTAAAAAAAGGTATATAATAATTTGTAATAATATGTGCTTTAAAAAAAAAGATAATAATTGCAATTGAAAAACAAAATATTCTGCAGGATTGTCTTTGCTTTCGACACGTTTCCAGGCCATTTGTACAACAGAGCCAGCTTTTGGTAGAAAACTGAAAAAAAAACGAGTAGAAGAGGAGTAATAAGCAAAAATATTAAACGATTTGTAAGTATTATGGGTTTAAAATAAAACCCTTCACATCTACAAGTTTGTAGGTTAAAGTTTTTCACTACAAAGCAACTTTTGCGCTTTTTTCTTTACAGCCAATTCCCTGGTAAAAAAAACACACAAATTTGTGTAACAGTTTACAAAAATGGGTGATTTATTTGATCAGCTAAAATCAGAGGGTCCTCTAAAGAAAACAAGCAACTCCTCCTCTCCCGCTAAAACTGCAACACCAACAAAAAGTAAATATGCCAAAACGATGGAAGATTTTAATGAAAAACATCAATCCAAAACGGGCAGCTTTAGACGTGAATCCCTGCCTTCACCGCTTACAGTTAGTAGTGTTTTGAAAAAATCCAAGAGCCACAAGGCCCGCAGTTTATCTCCCCCGAAATATGGCGCCAATAATGTTATAAAATCCTTAAAAGTTAAATTGGAACGTAAAAAATTGGAGGAATTTCTTACCCGACCTCTGGAAGAACATGCCAATAATATACGCATTAAACAGGAAAAAATTAAAGATTCCCATAAACACCTAAAAATGACACCAACAAAAGCACAACAGAAACTCTTTGAACCCTTATCGCAAATGGGTAAAAAACTAACGAAAAAGCAAATGTTAAAGGAATTCAATATAAAACCCTGTAAAGTGCGAATACATAGAGATAATCTGAATAAGCTAGCAAAAGAATTCAAAAAGAAAACGGCTGCCAAGAAAGATAATAAAACAAAAGCCGAAAAAAGACCAGCCTCAGATGGCCACTCGGGTTCACCGCCTCCCAAAAAAGTCAAAGGAATGAGCACGGATGCTAAGCATAATAAAATTAAAAACAATTTCTTTATCAAACTCAATACTTCACCCACTAGCAAAACCGAAAAGAAATTTAAACATTTCTCCAGAACCTCTTCCTCCTCCTCCTCCTCTTCGTCGTCGGTGGCTCAACATAATAAAATCAAAAATTCTAAATTTAACACCATAACCACACCCACAAAATTTTCACGCTCTCATTTAATAACCTCCTTTGGCAAACGTTTCTTTAATGTTCAGGTTAAAATAGAACGCTGCACCCATCCTTTGATGCTAACCTTTGAGTCCAACGATCGCGCCAGACGCCTGCAGGCTAAACGCAACAATAAATCAAAAAATCTCTCCGTATCATTTCGTGAACAAGTCGAAATCTTTGGCGGTAGCTCCGATTCAGATGATAGTTGTGATGAGGATTTCTGTGCTGTACCCAATCGCAATAATCGTAAAAGTAATTCCAGCCATTCGATTCCTGTACCCGTAACGCCTGTTGTTATGCCGGCCCGTTTGAAAAAAGTCGAAAATGGCAAAGTGGTCGATGACATAGAATTGGATCCTTCTTTGTTTGTAGATCCAAAAATTTTGGTAGCTAGTACACCATTTTCACCGGGACGCAAGAAACGTGATCATAAATCATTTAGTCCTTTAAAGGATGAAAGTTCGCCCAGCCCTCGTAAGGAACAGCTAAAGTTGGCAAATGAAAGAATACCGCCAAGTGGTCTAAGACGTTTGAACATCGACGAAGAGGATGATGAAGATGATGATTGTGAATATATTGGTAAGTGGTTATATTCGAAAATTAGTTTTAATTTATTAAATTAAACTTTTTTTATAATTCTAGTACCTATCGAAATGCCGCAACGTCGTGCATCACGTACCAGTTCCAATGACGATTTAGCTGGTCTTTTCGATGATGATGTCAATACAAACGATAATATTGATTTTACCGTAAATATTGCAAACAATTTTGACAAACAAAGCACCCCAGCAGTACCATCCCTTGCAGCAGTGCTAAATCTTGAAAATGGCTCTGATGATAGTTTTCAATCTGCTAAAGATATTGCAGAACCGAACAATGCAACGAACAATGCCGGAGACAATCAATTACCTACAATACAACTTTCCTCTCCGTTAAATTTCGGTTCGGAAACAAATAAAGACAACAATATTTTTGGACAATTACAACAGACAACAAATGGCAATGAAAGCGGCAAACATATGAATACAATAAATACCATGGAAGATATTTCAATGAATTTATTTTTGGAAGGTATACAGATCAAAGTTATTTCTCCCTATAATATTAAAGTAATCAAATGAATGTTATTCTCTTTTTCCTAGATTCTCAAACTAATGAGGATGATACACATGCAAAATCGTTTGTTGATAGTTTAATTAATGAAACTATTGATAAATTATCTAAAGATATCGATGAAGCTGGAACGGATTAACAATATGATAAGACAACTTTGTACTTTGGTTATTAACTAAATACATTATGATAAGTGTATTTTGAAAAATATTGCGCAATGTTTATCTTTTAAATTTATTTAATATTGTTAAATTTCTCTTCCTGTGCGCACACATTCAACACTTTACTGATGAACACTTTCCCTTCCATCGTCAACATTAGTTAGCATTCTCTTAAGAGATGTTTTCTTATTCTTAATTAATATTATTTTGTTTTAAACAAAATCTTAACAAATTCTTTACCTATAATTTGTTTTATTATTATAACAATCTTTATATAGTTTTTACATAATTGGAAACATGTAAAAAAAACGTTTATTTTATACATCTCTCTCTAAATACCTTGAATTAACTACATATTTATGTATGTAATTGTAATTTTACAAAAAAAAAAACACACACACACAAACATATATTTTTCAATAGCATTAAAGTATATAACAACAATAAATCTTAATACATTAAACAATAATTATGTTTTATCTACAAATATCTAATAACTCGTAGAAGTAATTTGCAATAGAAGTTTGTTTTCTATTTTATAATTTTGTTTGTTTCTATTGTTTTTTATATAGTGTTTAAAGGAATCTATAGAATATTGTGATTTAAAAACGAAAATTAGATTTTTATTGAAAATTATTGATATTAATTCTGTTTCGAAAATGTAGTTTTGCTTTCGGTCTTGTTTTACAGAGAGAATTTTATAAAGAAATTTCTAAATTTTTTCATATAAAATCAAGGGATTTGATTTAAAAACAATAGCCGTTCGAAATTCCAAAATCAACAAATTTCATAAATTTCTTTTTTTCTAAAACATTTTTAAAAAATTATCTTTTTTAAAGAAAATTTAAAAAAAATGTCTTTTTGAAAATTTTATTTTTTAGAAAATTTTCGAAAATTTAAAAAAAGCCTTTTCGAAAATTTCATTATTTTAAAAATTTTCGAAAATTTTTTCGAAAATGCCTTTTTGAAAATTTAAATTTTTCTACAAATTTTCGAAAATTTCTCTTTTTTTTAGAAAAGTTTTCAAAAATGTTTACTTTTTCTAAAACTATTTCAAAAATATATGTTTTTCAAAAAAATATTTCGAAAATTTAAATTTTATATAAAATTTTTAAAAATCCAAAATTTCTCTTTTTTAAGAAAATTTTAAAAAATGTCAATTTTTTTAAATATTTTTTTGAAAAAAATCTAAAGTTTTTAAGATATTGTTGAATAGAAATATTATTTTTTAAGAGAATTTTCAAAATGTTTTCTTTGCTTAAGGAAGTTTTCAAAAATAGTTTTTTGTTTAAGAGAATTTTTAAAATGTTCTCTTTTCTTGAGGAAATTTTCAAAAATGTCTTATTTAAAAAAATATATTTTTTTTAATTTTTGCAATTACTCTTTTTTTAGAAAATGTTTGAAAATTTCTCCTTTTTAAGAAACATTTTCAAAATTTTTATTTTTTAAGAAAAAATTTCAAAATTTCTGTTTTTTAAAGAAAATTTTTCAAAGTTTCTCTTTTTTAAGAAAAAATTTTTGAAAATTTGTCTTTTTTTAGTAAATGTTTGAAAATTTCTCCTTTTTATAGAAAATTTTTGAAAATTTCTTTTTTTTATAGAAAATTTTTGAAAATTTCTCTTTTTTATAGAAAATTTTTGAAAATTTCTCTTTTTTATAGAAAATTTTTGAAAATTTCTCTTTTTTATAGAAAATTTTTGAAAATTTCTCTTTTTTATAGAAAATTTTTGAAAATTTCTCTTTTTTATAGAAAATTTTTGAAAATTTCTCTTTTTTATAGAAAATTTTTGAAAATTTCTCTTTTTTATAGAAAATTTTTGAAAATTTCTCTTTTTTATAGAAAATTTTTGAAAATTTCTCTTTTTTATAGAAAATTTTTGAAAATTTCTCTTTTTTATAGAAAATTTTTGAAAATTTCTCTTTTTATAGAAAATTTTTGAAAATTTCTCTTTTTATAGAAAATTTTTGAAAATTTCTCTTTTTATAGAAAATTTTTGAAAATTTCTCTTTTTTATAGAAAAATTTTGAAAATTTCTCTTTTTTATAGAAAAATTTTGAAAATTTCTCTTTTTCATAGAAAATTTTTGAAAATTTTCTCTTTTTTATAGAACATTTTTGGAAATTTTCTCTTTTTTATAGAACATTTTTGGAAATTTTCTCTTTTTTATAGAACATTTTTGAAAATTTCTCTTTTTTATACAAAATTTTTGAAAATTTCTCTTTTATACAAAATTTTTGAAAATTTCTCTTTTATACAAAATTTTTGAAAATTTCTCTTTTTTATAGAAAATGTTTGAAAATTTCTCTTTTTACAGAAAATTTTAAATCAAAAATTTCTTTTCTTTATAAAATTTAAGAAAAATTTCAAATCAATTTTTTTTTTTTTGAAATTGTCCGAATAAAAAAGTTGTTTTAAAAAATTTAGTTTCTTTAAAAAAAAATCATGTAAAATCCGGGGAGAAGGTAGATTATCAGAGACAAAGCGTTCTGCTCTGTATAAGTCTACAGGACCGGAACAGACTTGTCTGATCACCTACGGGAATCAAAAGTTGTCGGGAACTGGGAGTCACAGATCGGCCCGATTTGGGATCGTGATCAAGCAAATCATTGGAGCAAACCCCTGCGGAAATGTGTTGTTACACAGATAGCTCTAATCTTGAAGACATACGGGTTTGAGGATTTACAAGGAAAACCCGGATTTATTTGTAATATGTTCTCCTTTTAATCTAACCTAACAATATTCTAAACGGTAGCCCTATTTTGGCACTATTCCGATCACAATTTTCCATTTGAATTTGAAAATAATTTCTAAAAGAAAACAAAACAAACATTATCAAAATGCAGCAACGTAACAAATTTACGGGACCTTTTAAAAACCATGTTTCTTTCGATAAAAAGGAAATCCGTAGAAAAATTATTATACCCACATTCCAACAGGCTCGACGTAGTGCCGATATTTATAGTGCCCTTGTACAGGAATTTCTCGAAGCAGGTTGTCCAACATCTGCCAAATATTTTCAAATCTTAATCAATAAAGAGCGGATACTATATGAGAATGCCTCTATAAGGGAACGCTTTCTGGATGAACCAAAATTGTTGTTAAGTCTCTTCGATAACTGTAAAATGGCTGAAAAGTCAGCACTTTTGGGTGAAAGCAATGGACCGGCCATATGCACACGTTTACTACTACAATGTATTTTGATGTTTGAGAACTATGAAAGGAAATACGATTGGATTTTAATGGATGTCTTTAAGATTATCATCAAAATAGCAGCTAAAGTATGCGAAGCTGAAGAGGTCTCAAAGGAATCTTTGTGTAGGATTTACTATAATTACGGAATGTATTTAAGCAAGAGTGGTAAGTAAGACTGGAAGACTGTTGGATTGTGATATTATTTCAATGTAATACCAGATTTGGAAGAAGCTGTTAAATATCTGGAAAAATCATTTGATTTGGCTAAGGGAAGCGATTGGATCGATGAAGAACATTCGAATAAAGGAAAAATTGTTCATTATTCCTCGGCGATAGCCAAAAGATATGGCTATGCCCTACTACATTACGCTAATAATATATTTCATACTGAACTCACCAAGGCCTTAAGTCAAGCTCAAAAAGCCATTATAATTTTAACGGGTGGTATTGATTTCGAAAACGTGTATAACTGTCAAAACTTTTAAATGCTCTCTTCTCTTTTACAGTGGGTATTGAACATAATAAAAGTATTTACTTAAAAGCCCATCTAGATATGGCTGAATTTCAAATAGAAGCCAAAAACTATGAAGCTAGTCTTTTGATACTCGAAAAGATCATAAAATATATCAAACTTTATGTAAAGGAAAATGACAAATATTTGAAATTCCTTTCACGTTATCATCATTTAAAGGGTGTGTGTTTTGAACGGTATGTTGTGAAAATATATGGAATACTAACCTTGCTTCTCGATTCAATAACTATTTTGTACATATATAGTCAGCAAAAATTTGATATGGCTTTAATAGAACTGCATGAATCACTTAGAATCATACACCATTTAAACCTAAAACAACAGGAAGCTCTCGTTTTATTGGATATAGCTAAAGTTTACATTAATCGTGGTCGTTCTCAGTTCCGTATGGCCGAATTGTGCTTACGTCAAGCGAAGGAGATTTTTGTTACTCTAAATGATTCGTTTAATATTAAGAAAACTTCTTATCTGATGGCCAATCTTAAGATGCATAATATACAACCCATGATTTTGGATTTAATAAAATTTTCTTCCACCAATTGTTGCGATAAATATCGTCTAACGCGTTGGAAATCTATATGTCTACCTTTTTGGCGTAATTTGCGTCATTGTTTGGAACAAGAAGAGCGACAGCCTATGCATTGTCATATTGTAGCAACTGAAATTCCAGCTAGAAATAGTCAAAGAAGAAATTTTCAGCGCCAAGCTCCAAGGAGTTAAAACAGTATTTTTGAGAATTTTTTCTTTAAATTCGATTATATTTTTATAGATTTTGATCTAAAATTTTCTGTTAATCTAAGTTTTGAATAAAAAAAGATTTGTTTTCAAATTTGGATTTTAAAAAATTTACTTTACAATGTGAAAATCTTACCTATATATAGGGTGCACCGTGATTGGATCAACCATATGTTAAATAGTTCGGATGTGGTTGATATTACACCAATGTTCTTGTACCCTGAAGAACTTGATGGAGCGTCATAACTGAAAACAATCAAATAAACATTCACCATAATGAGAAGACATTCAACAAACTTTTTTTTTCAATATATCAAATTCTTTATTTCAATAACCTAGCCTATATAGGCCATAATCGGTTATAAATTTCTACTTATGAATGAATATTACAGTATGGATGAATATTACAGTAAATTTCCGGAAATTCTTCAGTGAAGAGTTTGATAACATAATTTTATCTCCATTACCGGTTAATCACAATTAATAGCTTCCTAAGGACCTTAACTGATAAAGGAAAATGTCGAAATACTTCTAAGAGCGGCAAGGACCCAAATGATTTATGCAGGAGGGTGGAAAGCCTTTTAATGGTTGAGGATACACATTTGATCAGACCAGAGCTGGTAATAGTTTGACACGTTCTTGCGCAGATATTCACTATTCAGCTAGGGACATCATCGTCCATAGTATAGAAGATTAGTTTTTCCAATATTTGAGTGTCAGAGTTCATGATGCGCTTTAAAAACACCCAAAATAGGTGTAACCGTTAAGGGGAGTCTTGAGTTCAGGGCCCCAGAACTCATTTTCTCCTGAGCTGATGGCAATAACATGGAACTCAATATATTGGTCATCAGATTTAGAAGAAAGAACTATTTACTCTGTTCACTGTTGATGCTGCTGTGCGATGGATGTTGAAATCATTGTGACTTCGCAGATTGGACTTTGCGGACTGGAATATTGTAACGTCTCATAAAAGCAGTTATACAAGCGAGACCATTACACTTAAACTGCAGGGTGATATCAGTTGTGGAGGCTAACGATGTTGTTGTTGTAAAAGCTATGACTATACAATTTTCTAAACCGGAGGTTCTACACTGAGTTCCAGGCATAAAAACTATACTTGTACGAGTTTGTCTATAATTCCAGTGGAAAAAGCTTGGAGGATATAAGGGCGCTAACCATACGCTGGACATTCGTGTGTAACAACAGGTCTATGCGGAACCGGTAGGCATTAAGCTAGTTGTTCCATTGCGATCTCGATTGTACGAGATCAACTCTTGTTTTGCGCCGCAGGTTTTCTTCTATTGGCGATCTAACGGCTCTTGTACGTATCAGCATATGCTCTCCTAATATACAAGGAGGATCTGATATGTCTCGGGGGAACATCCCATTGGGTAATGTTAAAATTTGGATAACTTCTCCGTTAAATTTCCAGGAGAAACTGTTTGCTCAGCCTTATATTGTGTTCTCTGATTGTGGGAGAGCCTTCGTTTCCTCATGTAGGTGGAGCACTGAGGTTATTCGAATGCAGAACGAACAGTTCTCAAGGGTGAATTTTAGCAGCTTGGATAACTTCTCTAATGGATATCACTCTGCGAAGCTGACCCCTCTTGAGCAGCATAATTATGGCTAGTGATTTTAATTTGCATCAATATCCAGGCCTAAAAATGATGCTACTTCAAAGGAATGTTTCCATAAATCCATCATGTGAACCGTGACCACATGATAGCCACAAGCTTATCATGATAGCCACAGCCTTATTACGTTAGGTATGGAATGGTTTCAGCGCGATGAATAGGCATTAAGCCTGTTGCTCCATTCCGATCTTAGTTGTGCCAGAACTACTCCTGTTCTCTGCGACAGCGATTTCTTCCGTGTCTGCAATAGGTGGTGAGCGACATTCATGCGGTATCCGCGGTTTTCGTGGTGTCTCTATGAATGTCGTTCAAAACTGCCGAAAGTCTTTCGAAGGCCTAAAGCTGCTTTCCGGGTTTCGTGTTTTTATCGTATTTTAAAGAAAACTCTGTTTTTTGTTTTTAACTTGTTTTAAATTATAATTTATTTTGTTTTTTTTTAATTTTTGTTTTTAACGTTAAAGCATTTTGTTTTTTTTAACATTTCTTTGTTTTCGTTATTTTTGTAAAGTATCTGTGTGTGTGTGTTTTTTTTGTATTCTATATATTTCGTTACAGGAAAATGTAATTTTTCTCTTGTATACAATAATAATTTAACATAATTAATTGACTTTATCAACTGCTGCATTTTCTTTACATTTTGCTTTTTTTTTTACTTTTTAATCTTAGTAAACATGCATTAATTTCTTTTTATAAAATAAAAATAAAGAATAAAAATATATAATGGTATCAAAACGTAAACAACTACAATTAGAGGAAGGAGTGTAATTAAATACACTTTATTGTTCTTTTTTTCACTTCAGGCTGTTTTGTGGTATTTAGAATTTAGTTTTTTTTTTTTAAGGGGCAGGCAGGTTGGTTGATTTTAGATTGTATTTATTACAAAATTAACATGTACAAATAATTGACACCAAAGTTTGCTAGTAAGTAGTTAGTTGTTGGGAAATACTTAGTAAAACTAAAATATTTATAATGTATTGTTTGAAATTTGTTTAATTTTTAAAGCACTTTGTATGTAATCATTTTGCGTGGAAGCCTTATTTGTTTAATTATTAATTTATTTAATGTAATGGCAACAACAGCTTAACATTTTATTTAGTTAATCCTTGATTGTAGTGTTTTGTTTGTTGTTTGCTTAATTGATTGTTGTTTTATTTGGGTTTTAATTGGGTTTTTTGAACATCAAATAACAA